TGACATCTGACTTTTACAACCACTTGTTCTCATATTTCATGACATTAGATATTTCTAAGTTCAATCCAAGACAAATTCCACATACCGAAGAGAGACAAACATTGTTAGAAGCAAACAAGAGTGTATATGAACTGTTCATAGATGAAACTGACTTTGAGTGTTTAGATGAAAGGTCATTGTACGATTCGTATAAACAATATTGTCAAGAATATGGTTATATGACAGCGTCTAAACGAACATTCTTGGCAAATGTCAAAAGTCTTTTAGACGTACAGAATGGTGTATATACAAAGAAAAATTTTTCTGAGTAAATTTTAAAAAAAATATTTTTTTATCCGATAGAAAAGATGACGAAATTCATCTCAGTAAACAAGTACATGTCAGGACTTAAAGAAGAACTAGACCCATTCACATATTTGAATGTTTACTTCTACCATTTTGAAAAGTCTTCATTCAGCAAAGTTTGGAACATCGAACCAGTTAAGTTTGCTATTGTGACTAAAAATGGTGCGAAATTTGAAGACTTAGACATAGAAGGTTTGTTAACAGTCAAAGAAAGTTTTGACAGAAGGTTTTCAAACCTTAAAGAAGGCAAAGCATACAAACTTGTTATACCTTATGAACCAAAGAAAGCAGACGACTATGAATATTATGAGTCTAAGATAGTTGAAGTTCAAGGTAAATTGGGTAAAAAGATTTTAGAGTCTAAGCCGGTGTTTGCTCCTAAAGAGGAAGAGAACATTGACATTGACCCAGAAATGATCTAAAAATAAAATTTTATTTTTACATGTCAAATTTCTTCTTCTCTGGCTCTGGTTCTTTCTTCTCTTCTTCTACTTTCTTTTCTTTCTTTTCTCTCTTCTTCTTTTCTGGTGGAGTTATGTCAAACTTCTCAGAACCATATTTTTGTAAAAGTGCTTTGTCATTTAATAGCTCTTCTATTCTGTTTTCTATTTCATTTTCAAGAACAGCGCATGTGTCTTCTTTGCATTCTAAGAAGTTTTGTTGGACTTCATCTCTCCAAGAGGCGTCATCTCTGTCAACAAGTCTGTCATTGACAAATTTTAAGACTGCTCTGCTTAATGTTTTATGGTTCTTGTCATATTCCCAGAAACAGAACTTTAGAACAAATTCCCCTTTCTTGTTTACACTATGTAAGATTTTATGGTCTACAGATGTTTTGCTGTCGAAAAGTTTATCTCGAATATAGATAGCGAAATCACTAGACATTTTCTAAAAGATAAAAATTTTAATTTTTCTAAAAATATGTTAGAAAAAAAGTTTGCTGACATTGACAAGAAATTTGAGAATGTTTTAAATAAGAACAAGAGGAAGTTGGAAAATGCTCAGATAAAGCCTATACATGACAAGTTCTTATTTGCTCAGAATGGTATAACAGGTCTAATTGCACCACCTGGGTCGGGTAAGACTTTCACTTATCTTAAAATGGCTGCACAACAACAAGAACTAGATGAGAAGAACCCATTCTATGAGTTAGTAGTCATTTGTAGTACTTCGGGTCAATTTGACCAAACCGTCAATTCGTTCAAAGATATTATAAAGAAGTCTAAGTTAGTATGTATAAAAGACTCTGAGTTGTTAGATTGGATAAAGAAGTACCAAAGAAGAGTTTTGAAGTACAATGCTATAAATGAGTATGTCAATTCGAAGTTTAAAGACCCAAATGAGGAAATGCAGAGAATATTAGAGAAGAAACACTTCAGAAACAAACAGAAAGAGATAGAATACATTTCGAAGAAATTGCAATCTTACGATTGGAAGACTTACCCTCACAGATGTCTTCTTATCTTAGATGACTTTGCTTCTCATCCTTTGTTAAAGAACAGAGAACAAGACATGTGTCGAATTCTTAAGAAGCTCAGACACTTTAACATTTCAGTTGTCATTTGTGTACAGACAGCCAAGAGTTTAAGTAAGGATGTAAAGAGAATACTTACTGATATTATACTTTTCCCCGGATTGTCCGAAGACGATTTCATGGAACTTATGAAAGAGTCCATGGCAGGTAAGTTTGACAGACATGAACTATGGGAGAAGTACAAAGTCATACAAGACCCTCATACTTCTTTCAGAATTCATATCTACGCAAACAAAGTTCAAATTGTAAAAAGTCAAGCTTGAAAAATGTAAGTGTTTAGTCTTAGTAAGTCTGTTGTGGTTCTGCAGCTTTCGGTTCTTCTGGCTTTGGAAGGCATTCAGGAAGAGGAACGTCAGTCATCCGTTTGTGTCCTGTCGGAAGGAAGAGTTCTTCCTGTCGGAAGGAAGGACTCGGAATGCCAGAAGGATTTGACAAGACAATTTACCTTATAGAGCTACCTGAGCCATCTGACTTTCACAAAAGACCAAAAATAAACGCTTTACATGTATTTTTCAGCAACTTCGTCAAATAATTTTATAGCTTTATCTATCTCATCTACTTCAAACGTTTCTTTACCTTTCGTGGGAGCACCATACATTTTCTCAAACTTTTCAAGTAGTTCTGTTTCAGCAGCTCTCATATCATTTACAAACACAACCTTGACTCTATTGACTGTAGAGTCATATCTTTGAGTTATATTATATGTTCTTCCTATCTTATATCTCTTTGTATTGAAGTCCTTCGGTTTCTGAACGATGTAAAGTAAGCCTTCACTGCAACGTTCCGTATCGAATGAACCATATGTTATGAAATTATATCCAACAACTGGGTCTAACCATAACAAAACTATTGGTATAAGACTTTTGTCAATGAGATATGCTGTAGTTCCACAGAATCTTACCGATATCATAAACTCAGGATTTCTTGTCAAAATTTTCTGAGTTGAAGCAATTCCAACCCAATGCCATGTTTTCTTTCCAGATGGTGTTAGAATGTCTGACAAAGAATATTTGTTGTATTTCTTTGAGTATCTTACGTTTAAATCACCTATTCTAACCATTTTGGTGTCATTGTCTATCTTTTTAACTGTTTCAAACTCAATGTTTGTCATTTCCTGTTCTTACATACAAAATAAAAAAATAAAAAAAAATAAAACTAACTTTTTTTTTCTATCTTGTATAAAAGATATGATTTCAGGGATTTTTTTACGAAGAGTAAAAGTTCACTTCGTCAAAAAAATACAGTTATATCATGAAATTTGGTCATTTTTTCACGATTTTCATGTGTTTTAGGCGAGTAAGATTTTTTACTTACTCGCATTTTTTCACGATTTTCATGAGTTTTTTTTACGATTTTCGAATGGAATCTCTTTCCTCGATTTTTCGAGGGAAGCAAGCATATGAGGAAATTCATGATTTTTGGTCATTTTTTCACGATTTCAGGGATTTTTTTTACGAAGTGTAAAAGTTCTCTTCGTCAAAAAAATACAGTTATATCATGAAATTTGGTCATTTTTTCACGATTTCAGGGATTTTTTTTACGAAGTGTAAAAGTTCTCTTCGTCAAAAAAATACAGTTATATCATGAAATTTGGTCATTTTTTCACGATTTCAGGGATTTTTTTTACGAAGTGTAAAAGTTCTCTTCGTCAAAAAAATACAGTTATATCATGAAATTTGGTCATTTTTTCACGATTTCAGGGATTTTTTTTACGAAGTGTAAAAGTTCTCTTCGTCAAAAAAATACAGTTATATCATGAAATTTGGTCATTTTTTCACGATTTCAGGGATTTTTTTTACGAAGTGTAAAAGTTCTCTTCGTCAAAAAAATACAGTTATATCATGAAATTTGGTCATTTTTTCACGATTTTCATGTGTTTTAGGCGAGTAAGATTTTTTACTTACTCGCATTTTTTCACGATTTTCATGAGTTTTTTTTACGATTTTCGAATGGAATCTCTTTCCTCGATTTTTCGAGGGAAGCAAGCATATGAGGAAATTCATGATTTTTGGTCATTTTTTCACGATTTCAGGGATTTTTTTTACGAAGTGTAAAAGTTCTCTTCGTCAAAAAAATACAGTTATATCATGAAATTTGGTCATTTTTTCACGATTTTCATAGAGTTTTTTTACGAAGTGTAAAAGTTCTCTTCGTCAAAAAAATACAGTTATATCATGAAATTTGGTCATTTTTTCACGATTTTCATAGAGTTTTTTTACGAAGTGTAAAAGTTCTCTTCGTCAAAAAAATACAGTTATATCATGAAATTTGGTCATTTTTTCACGATTTCAGGGATTTTTTTTACGAAGTGTAAAAGTTCTCTTCGTCAAAAAAATACAGTTATATCATGAAATTTGGTCATTTTTTCACGATTTTCATAGAGTTTTTTTACGAAGTGTAAAAGTTCTCTTCGTCAAAAAAATACAGTTATATCATGAAATTTGGTCATTTTTTCACGATTTCAGGGATTTTTTTTACGAAGTGTAAAAGTTTTCTTCGTCAAAAAAATACAGTTATATCATGAAATTTGGTCATTTTTTTCAGCAAAAATATATTTTAGGTGTCACCAGGTCACTCGGTCACTCGGTCACTCGGTTAAATGAACTTCTCTGAAAAAGTGTGACAACATGACATTTTGACAACAACACAGGAAATAGACTTCTTCGTAAATGTTTTGTCAAAACCTCATCGTCAATGAGCGTAAATCAGACAAAAATATATTTCTACCATAAAGTTTCACAAGCGTTTTACATGGTAAACATTGTGAATTCGTGAAATCCTAAACAGTTTTGTAGCTTCTATTTCTTCTGTCAGTATGTCAAAAGTTTTCACAATGCCGAATGTTTCTTTATATTTCTTCTTGACGTCAGATAGAAGGAAATCGTCAGCAGTTGGATAGTTTTTGTTTAGAAATGTCAACATGTCCATTTTATCTTCTGCTGGTTTCTCTACTTCTTTCTTTAAGTCAGCATAGTCGTTTCGCATACGTTCTATCTCTTTGACGGAGTAGTTATATTTCCTCATTGCTGCTTTACATTTAGAACATTGTGGGTTCATTTTTGCATTGTACATTGAAACCTTACCTGCTAAAACAACTAAGGCGTAAATGGTTTTCTTTAACTCAAAGGCTGCTGGTTTTATCTGTTCATTCCATACCTTACCTCTTCTATCTTTATCTCTTATCTGCCATACACATTTTGCAACTAACGAAACAAAGTTGTCGTAGGTCTTAAATTCTTCAGATTTATATATGTCAATGAAATATACCATATCGCAGTCTTTGTCCATGACTTTGTGGTTGCAATGAAATCCAAGAAACTCATAGTTAACCTTACGTATGAACTTCTTAATTTCAACTGAGTCAGTTGCTTTGACTTCTATTTCATCGAATTCAGGAATAGTGAGCTTTTGTTGTTGTATTTCAGGAAGTTTAGGTAGATGTTCCACCAGGTCCTGCATTTCATAAAGATATTGTTCATTTGTTTCATCTTTTGCAGTGCAATCTAAATCTCCTTGGAGAAGTTCTTGCTTTATCTTCTGGATTTCTGTTTCGAAAGTATATGAAGAAGGAATGAAGCTTTTCATTTCTACTAACATTGAAGTTGGGTTCATGACTAACGAGTTTGGTGCTGTTGTTGCTAACATGTTCTTACAATAAAAATAAAAAATATTTTTTTTTAAAAAACTAAAATATATTTTTTATTTCCTGTGTTGTTGTCAAAATGTCATGTTGTCACCATTTTCAAAAAGATGTTAGTTGACCGAGTGACCGAGTGACCTGGTGACACCTAAAATATATTTTTGGTCATGGGCTATGCCCCGCCGCTTTGCGTCTTTTTGCCGAAAAAAATAGTTCATTTACTCACAATATTTTTGTACAAAACGACCCCAAACTTTTAACTTCTTTTCTGCAGCTTCTAATGAAATTTTAGCGAGTTCATATTCTCTAAATTCTCTCTTTAAATCTTCTTGTTCCCATTGGTCTAGTTCGTATGGAGAGTCTCTATAACCATAACATATCTCACGTTCATGTTCTATTTGTTTTTCGCACATTTTTCTAACTTCTTGTTCGAACAAAGGTTTAGCATTCTCTACTGTATCTTCAAGTTCTTCTTCATCTAATTTCTCATGAACTTTCTTGTCTATGGAGTCCAGAATTTTTCCAACTGCTATACAATATTTTGGAGAAGCCCACATTGCTATATAGTTTAGAAGTCTTGGGTCTACATACGTTCCTCTAACCTGTCTGATTTCATCAGGAATTCCTGCATGAATTTTGTATAAAAACCAACCGCCGGAATTCCGGCGGTTGCTATATTCTTCACAAAATGCCTTATAATACTCTTCCCAGGACTTATTTTCCAACAACTTTCTAAAGTCTTTCCTAAACTGCTGACACATCTTTGTTGCATTTATATAACCATCCTTGTCTCTACGTAAGACTTCAATACCGTTGTAAGTGCCTTTTGTGAATGTTTCGCCATTAGATTTGTTCGTGAACGTTTTTGCTTCGACTGACATTTCTGTTCTTACATACAAAATAAAAAAATATTTTTTTAAAAAAAACTAAAATATATTTTTGTCTGATTTACGCTCATTACGATGAAATCATGACAAAACATATACGAAGAAGTTTATTTCCTGTGTTGTTGTCAAAATGTCATGTTGTCACCATTTTCAAAAAGATGTTAGTTGACCGAGTGACCGAGTGACCGAGTGACCTGGTGACACCTAAAAACCATCTAACCTAAAATATATTTTTGCCGAATTCAGCAACAAAATTCAAGAATTTTGGTTGAAAGAATACGATGGAGCCAAAAGTGGCTCGACCTCTTCACCTAAAATATATTTTTTCTATCTTAAGGAAATTCATGAGTTTTGGTTGAAAGAATACAAATATTGTTCTGAAGCAGTGCAAGTCTTGTTCTGAAACAGTACAAATATTGTCTTGAAACAGTGCAAATATTGTTCTGAAGCAGTGCAAATATTGTTCTGAAACAGTACAAATATTGTTCTGAAACAGTGCAAATATTGTTCTGAAACAGAAAATTTTTCTCACAAATTGAGAGCTTTTACGGGAAATTTGTTCTGAAAAAGTACAAGTCTTGTTCTGAAAAAGTACAAGTATTGTTCTGAAAAAGTACAAGTATTGTTCTGAAGCAGTGCAAGTATTGTTCTGAAACAGTGCAAGTATTGTTCTGAAGCAGTGCAATGGACAACATCGAGCCACATTCAATACTTTTTCAGCACTTTTCCGTAGTTGTATATGAAAGACAATTCGAGATAAAAGTCATAGTACAATGGTATAATATGCTGCACACCGTTTGTTGTGAACCAAACTTGAAAGTCAGAGAAACTGTTACTAGGTGGTTCGTAGAATTTAGAAGCAAAGTCATAAAAGTCCTTACCGATACAAAGAAAACTGTTGTTGCTTGAACTGAAACTTGCATGACATATAACATTTTGAGGGTCAAACACGTTTCTATAAACTGTCAAATCTGCTGGTGGAAGTATAAATTTAAATGGACCATCTGGTGGTAATGGTTCGTTCTGGTTTAGTAACCGAAGAAATTGTGCCCAAGAACGTTTGTCTACTCCCCAATATAAAAAATCTGTATCTCTTGGAGGGTTAATTTCAATCTTTTGAAATGAAACGGTGGAGTTCATCTTGTCATATTCTAGTTTCAGATAGTATGTTCCATTTAGTAAAGAGTCGTATTTTTCTTGAAATTCCCAGTAGTATTTGTTCATTTGAGTTTGAAAGTCATTTAGAGTTTTCTCAAGACTTTCGTCTGAACGAATTGTAAAGATTTTCATTTCGTCAAATTTTTCTATTAGACCATCAGAACCTTTATACTGCCCATGAAAATATACTGCGAACATAAAAGCGTTAGTTCTATTTGAAAACAAAACTCTTCTAAATCCTATTGCCTTTGCATCTGAAGGACTTTGAAGCCAACGAATTGGATAGTCAAACCTGTAAGCTCCGGATGAAATTTCTTCATCTGAAATATTCCTACCAGCATTTGTAAAGATATAGTCTAACGGTTTTGTATCTGCTACTTTTGTTCTTTGTTTTTCAACCTGAAGCATTTAATATATGTAAAAATATACTGTTTTAAAAACGTTTTTACTTCATGCAATGTTTTACTTCATGCAATGTTTTATTTCTGTGCCGTCTTCAAGTATGCCCCAGTACTTACGCTTGGAGAGGACATGAACTTCGGAAAATACCTTATCTAGCTTAAAACAGCCCATCTTTTCACCGACCATTCCCATTTCAATGAGTTTGTTGTATCCTTCTTCGTTCGTCATGAGTGCGTCAATGTTCTCATAGTAAACCTTCACTTTGGATTTGACTTCGGAGAAGAATTTGTTGTAGTTGTCAAGGACTGCCTTTGCGAACTGAGGGTAAGACCAATGTTCGACAATAGGTTTTAATGTGGTTACTAAGCCACTTTGACCTTGAGTAAATTCGTACTTCAAAACAAAAGGAGAAAACCTTTCAACAAAGTTGTCGACCTTCTCATAGTGTTTACTCTTCATCGCTTGAGGTTTCTTAATGGAATATCCCCATGTCGAATTCATAAGCAATTTGAGTGTCATTGCAAGTTTGGGGTTTGAAGCTTTCCTAATATCATACAGTTGTTGTATGACTTTTCCAACTGTATAGTTCCTTCCCGGGAACTCACCATCTTCGTTTGGAATTCCAGTCGGAATATATTGGACAAACCTCATGTATGCAGCGTTAAGGTCGACATAGTATATTTTTTCATCTGAGTCGAACTTGTCGCAACCTATTGGTCCAGTTTGTGGAAATTCAAGTGAGTCTCTTATCTTCTGAGAAACTTCTCCTGTTATCTCATAAACATCGTCGAAGCAACCTGTTTCATATAAAACCTTCTGACCTAACTCAGATGCTCTCCAATACAATTTGACGTCAATTGGATGTCTCAATGGAAGTTTGTTTATAGCATCTTGAAGTTCTTGCAACCTCATTGGAAGTTCTTCTGGTTCAGGTTGGTATCCGAACAATCCAACTCCTTTTGGAACTGTGTACTTCTTTTGTGCTAGAACTTTGTCTGGAACAACTTTTGGTCTTGCTAACAATGAAAAGTTTGTTTCGTCTTTGGTACAAAAGTTTCTGTCAGCTTGTCATCTGGAATTGGTTCCAACAAACCTTTCTCGAAAAGAATGTTAACAGCTCTGACAATGTTGCACTTGCCTTTTCCGAACAATGGGTTTGTAAGACTTTCGTTCAACATGAAGTGGTTGTGGACAAGTACAATCTTCAACCATGGTAAGTCTTTGTCAACAACATAGTCGTCATGTGAAGAACCTTTAGCTGTAGGTATGTTGACTCGGATATTCACATTTGCCAACGGTGCAATTTTTGCCAATTGACCTCTGAGAATGTACCTTGTCTTCACACATGACTCAAGATACTTCATCTTCTCATCTGTAACAAGACCAGAGTTCCTGAGACATGTAAGAATACAAGGTTCGTTGACAATTTTTCAATTGAATTGTAAATTCCATACCTTGTCAAGTCAATGTCAGACTTATTTCTGAAGGGGAAGTATCCAGCATGTTGTCTGACTGCTTGAGGGTTAGGTTGGTACCATTCGAACTTGACACTTGCAATTCCTTCAATTGCATTCAAAATGTCTGAGTCGGAGTCAACCATTTGTTCTCTCTTTGTAGTCTTGAAAGCGTCAAGAAGTTGTGCGGCTGTTGTGACATTGCCATGTGCATAGTAAATGTGACCATCCAAATCTGTTATGGTCAATCTGAGATTGTGTCCTTTCTTATTTCCGTCTTGAATTGCAGCAAGTACACCCATGAAGCCTTCTTTGTTCTTTCCTTCGTCAAAGTTTACTGTAAAGGTTCGACCAGATGTAATTTGACTTCTAACTTCACGGTACTTTTCATATGCATATCTTGTTCTTTCCATGGGAGCATGTGTGTCTTCACCTTTTCTTTTTTCCTTCTCAAAGGATGCAATTGTTCGTCATGTTTCCAGTAGAATCTGGCAAAGCCGTCGTGTCCTTCAACTTGAGGTTCACTAACATCGAAAGGCATGTCCATAAGACGTTCTTCTTCTAACCTCTCTAGTCTGTTTGGATAATTTGCACGTGCTGTTTCCAAATCCATTTCGTAGCGAAGACCAGACAATTTGTCATAGACTTTTATGAGTCTTCCCTTCCTATATTTAAAATTCTTCGAAACTCTCCAACCATATCTTTGTAACTCTGCTTTTATTCTAGCAGATTTTCTATCCATTCTATATGGGGGCATTTTTATAAAAATAAAAAAATATTTTTTTTCCTTTACTTAACATAACCGCCTGCTGCCATAAGTCTTTGACGCCAACCCATACCAGCTAATGAAGGTTGACTTGGTTTAGTTTGGAAACTAAACTTTGGTTTTGGTTTATCTTCAGTTTTTGGTTTTTCTTCTTCTATTGGTTTTTCGTCACTTTTCGGTTCCTTTGACTTTACTTCACTTGCAGGAACAGTTGTGTCGTCAACATCTTCATAAATATCATATGCCATTTGTTTTTGTTTTCCTTTCAACTTTTTGTGTTTGTTGTAAAGTTTAGAATATTTCGACTCTAAGTCAATGAGATGTTCTATAATGAACTGTTGGTCAGTGAAGTAAACTTTTCCATCTGTTGTCTCGAAAGCTCCTTCAGACTTCAATATTTTATTTGTGAGAGTCTGTTTCTTTTTTGAGATACTAGCCGTTCCATTTTTATGAAAAGTGACTTTGTAGTTAGGATTTGTATTTCCAGACCTGGCACTTTCTATTATTGAATTTTTCTCTTCATCTGTAAGTTCTTTGACAGGTTTTGACAATGGTTCTGAACTTTTTGTTTGTGGTGTCAAATCTACCGTTTCAACTTCTTCGGTCATTTCATCTCAGTAAAAAATTTTAGTTTGGTTTGTTTTCAACTGGTTGTTTAGGTTTTTTAAGTCGGTCTAAAACTTCCTGAGGTATAGGAAGAACTTGACAAACACGTGGTGGTGTAACTGCTGGAAGCCGACAAATCCATCTTGAACCCATTTGTCTCAATGCTGTATTGTTCATTTCATCTCAGTAAAAAATTTTACATTCCCCACGTTTGAGGCGGTTGAGGTTGGTTATTGTTTACCCACTGTTGTGCATGGTTATATCCTCTGTTAAAGAATCTTTCACCTTGGTCCATATAGTGCCCTGCTTGGTTATAGTAGTCATTTGCTTTGTTATAGTAGTTTCCTGCTTGTCTTCCTACATTGTCCATCCATCCTTGAACTTTTCCTCTTGTTTCAGGATTTGGAATAAGATTTGCTGCATCTCGTGCTACATCCCAACCTTTCTGTACAGTTTGTATAATAGGTTGTGCTTTCTCTTTCAGTATACCTAATGTACTCAAAATCTTCCTTCCAATTCCAAATGCACCTCTGGCTATTGTTCCCACTGCGGGCAAAAATCTAGATGCGACTCCTGCTAATGCGCCAAATAAACCCATTTCTTATGGGTTAAAAATGACGAATTCAAACAAGGACCCCCATGTTTCTAAGGCAACAAAGAAAGCACTCATGGTAAAAATCTTTAGTTCAACACCAAATGCTTGGTTTATGGATATCTTGGAAAACATTCCGAGGTATAGAGAAGATGGACCACCATACTGGCTAATATTTGTTGGTCAAAACACAAGATACTGTGAAGCCATACCATTATGGTCCAAAAATATTTTAGATGTGAAAACTGCTTTGACAATATTCGTTGACAAATACCATCCAACAAAACTGACATCTGACTATGAAAGTTCTTTCAAATCAGATGATGTAAAAAACTATCTGCGTTCAAAAAATGTAAACCAATATTTCATTGTCGACCAAAACCATTCTGCTCTTGGTGTCATTGACGGTTGTATAAAAATGTTAAGAGACTTAAACCAACCACAAGGTGGTGAAGCAAATGAAATGTCATATGACGACAAGTATAGACACTTCTCCATGGCAAAGATGAGACAAGTTTTAAATATTTACAATAGCCGTAAACAAAAAGGTTTGGGAAACCACTCCCCTGAAGAAATGAAAAACAACCCTGACTTAGAGAAAGACTATATATTTAACAATTTAGTCAAAAGAGACAAACAAGAAAGAATGCCGGGCTTCAAACTTCAGAAAGGTGACAAAGTAAAAATAGAAATACCTAAACGCGACCCATATGAAAATACTATTGACTATGACAACAATGGAACCCGACAGGTACTCACATTCGTGTTCGTAAAAATAGAAGAAAGTATACAAGAGAATATTATGAAGTTTTAGGCAAACATGGCAAAATGTACACACTGCAAGCAGAAGATAAAACTACTATTGTCAGACCTCGTTTCAAACTTGTTAAGGTTCAAGGTGGTATACTTTCAAAGACAGTTCCTAACAAATATAAGACAACTCCTGACGAATATGCTAAAGAAGTTGAAAATGACGACTAAGCATTTCTATACCATGCGTAAACTGTCATGTAAGGTGGCATGTAGTCTTTACTTTGTCCCGTTGTTTGCGTATATCCTGAAACCAAATGTGTATGGCTTCCTCCTCCCTGAGTGTCATCCCAGTAACAATTTATAGCAAACTGAACGTCGTCTTTAACATCATATCCTTTACCTTTTGTCATTCCTGTCCAATCCCAATATCTATGCTTATGCCAACCTTCTAGAGATGTAGTTAAATCTACGTAGTGACTGTGTGCAGGTAAATTTTCACCTGAAATCGTTTTACTTCCACCTGTTTCCTTTGAAGAGTTTGCACAATACAAAAACCTGTCGACTATTTGAGTCCAAGTTCCAAAACCAAGTACTACTTCTGGTCTGGTAGAGTTCATTGAAACATATAATGAGCCAACCGGGTAAATAAGATTCGGCAAAATTTGTTTAAGCACCTTGAGTTCCTGTCTTAGATGCATAATACTATTGTCATTAGATATCAAAGTATCTACAAGACTTGTTGCCGGTGGTATTGTTGGACCTTTACTTGGCAAGGTTGTGTTTAGTGTAATATCATCTGCTGTAAAAGTTGTAAAACTTGTATGTGTATGAGTCTTATTTGCTTTCTTCTCTAACTCATCGTTAACATATGTTTTATCCGCTTTGTCATCTAACTTTTCTTGAAGTTCATCTACGTCATAGATGTTATGTGTATGATGTTTTTGTGGGTATGTTCTTTCTGTCCATGCGAAAATATAGTCTTTTGTTGCATCTACATATCCAGCTATCCATGTCGAGTCTGCTTTTGTATTCCTTAACTCTGTAACACCTTTCTCAAGCTCTTTCAACTGTTGTCCATCTTCCATTAAACCTCTGGTATGACTTGAAACCGTTTGTGCCAACATATCTACAGTTTCTTTGTCAGCTTTCTTTTCAACATCCTCTTTTGTTGCATATGTTGCATCTGCTCTGTCATGTTCTTCTTGAACTTTTTCAATGACATACTCTTTGTCAGCTTTGTTGTCAACATCTGCTTTCAAAAGAAGTTCATTTATAGGCTTCTCGTTTAAAGTTCCTTTTGTTGGATTTATACAGACAGTATGGTTCTTATTGTCTTGAAACAGAAACTCATCTGTCATTGGGTTCATTGTCAGTTTTAAGTTTCCTTCTTTCAATGACTCAGATATCTTAGAATAGTTTGAAAAGTTTGTTGTGTTCTTATTTAGAGCTTGTATAATGAGTTGTCGGTTGTGTTGTATTTCTCTCATAGACGCTGTTTCTTTCGACATTTTTATTCTAGATAAAATATGCTTTCAATAGAAAAAGAAAATTCAAGAGTTGCTACAACTAAACCATTAGATGAACTTTTTACTAATGTCGGTCAAAAGTTTGAGACAGAGACCGTAAAGCATGAAGGCTATCGTTTTGACTACCCATTGAGATGGCTAAGAGACCCATCTGTCACAAAAGCTATTGGCTTTCGTAGAATGAAGTTCATTTCAGAAGCCATACATGGTTTCCCATTTACGGTCGGTTTTGAAGTTCGATACTATAACAAAGAAAAACGTACGTATGAGAAATTTGAACAGGGAAAACTTTTACAAGTGAATTTGCTTGTAAACTTAGAAACAACTCTTCAAGCTTTTCAAGAAAAAATAAACGATATCTATCTCGAATATGCAAACCAGTTTAACATTGACGAAGGAGAATACCATCTCGATATTGTTTATGACAGGAAAAATGCAACTGTTAAAATCGATAGAATAGAAGACCTTGGAGAAAACGTTTATATTTCTACAAAATATAACAACTTGGCATGGTATAGATTTTTGAGGATGTTAAATCAGCCTGCAGAATATCCAGTACACCCGAACTTTTATGAAGTCGAAAACCCTAATGGAACATATGAAAATGTTTTCGACCAAGATGCTATTATCGTTCATGCTTCATTTTCTGGCGCCCAAAACTCTTTTTTATGCTTGGCAAATGACTTTTACGAAAAACCTACAAAGTTATATGAACCACCGAGTGGAAGTATTTCAGACTTTCAAGTATGGTTTACTACAGATGGAAGAAAGAGAATAATTCCATTATACCATGCGTTTTACTTAGAACTTAGTTTCATATACAACTACTATCGAACGGTAAAATATAATTTTTTAATACGGTTGAGGTGTTGGATTTGGTTGCCAACTAGACTGTGGTGCAGGTTCAGGCTATTGTATAACAGGAGCTTGTTCTTCTGGTTCAGGGTCTTTAGGTATAATACCAACGAACTGACCTACTCTTTTACCAATATTTTTGACTCCGTTCCAAATTCCTCTTCCGACAGATTTTATTCCATTCCATATACCTCTTCCAACATTTCGAAAGAAGTTTCCTATTCTTCCAAAGAAACCCATTTTACTATATGTAAAAATCTAATGTCCGCCTAGTCTTTTGCGTTTCCTGTTTGAGTTCCATAGCATCTTTAACTGGAGCTCATACATCTGTTTCTCCTCTGGTAGAAAACATATTCTGGGTCAACTCCTGTGTTCGCGTCATCTGCATAAAGTTGTTTATATCCCACTTCAGGGTTTGTATAAAACTCTTTCCATCTCATATTTGCATACCATGGTGGCAAACCTAACGCAGCGTCATTTGACATGGCAGTTTGCATTTGTACATCTGTTGGCACTTGACCATAGTTTGCCATTGCAGTTTGTATTCTAACTTCATTTGGAATATTCTCTGGGTTTGGTTGTCCAGGTTGCTGTGCATTCGCTAAGTTCTGTGCGTCCATTTAATATTAGATAAAAATATCTCTTACGAGTACATATACTGAACATTTGCAGGCATTGGTTCATCTTCATATTCTCTGTACTTTTCTGCCACGTCAAATAAGTAAATGACACAATGGAAAAAACCTAAAACAAGTAGTCCTATTTCAAACCACATTTACTTACCAATAAAATTTCTTTGTTATGACACTTTCTCCGGTTTATAGGACCTCTCTCATATTCTATCTTGTCATATCTAAACTCATAGTCATGTATGTCCTCTAACCATCTCATAACGGTTTCCAAACCACTTTTATCGGATGTAAAGTAAAAGCATGGATGGTTATGTAAAACGTCTAAAGTTTCTAAAGAGTCTCTCAAAGTCCAGTCTACTTGGTATTGAAAATCCCATGTGTTATAGAACGGCGGGTCTACTATAAAGAAAACATTTTCCTTGTCTTTATATTTTTCATACAACTCTGTCCAATGACATCTCACAAACTCTATACCCTCAATATATTTTTCTATGTTCTTTTTGAAAACCTTTGTATAGTTAAGATATAAAACTTTTGACATAAGTGTTTCAATGTCATGAACTCTTATAGAACCACTATATAATAGTCTAGCAGATATACTATCCCAGTCTATATATTCTGCTTTTTTCAAAACCTCTCTCACAATATTTTTCTTATCTAATGGTATACTTTCCATCTTACCTATAGGTATCTTTTCTTTTAACTCTTTCAATATTTTGTTTGTGTCTGGAATATGTTTGAGACGGTTCATATAGTTGTCGAAGTCATTGCATATAATCTTTGAGTCAGGGAATACGGTATGGCACAAATGGGATATATAGAACCTTCCACCGAACAAATCTACAAATGTTAGACCATTCGGTAGTTTCTTAAGTTCTCTCAATAGAATATCTTTACATCTACTCTTATTTCCAAAGAAGGGTAACGGTGGTTTTGTAAAATTCATTTTATATATAATAAAAATGTTTTTTTCCTGAAAAGTGACAGAAAAGTGACAAAACATGAAAACTACTCGGTCAAAGTCTTGTCAGTTTTGTAAAATAACCGTCCTATCTTGTTTTAAAATGGAGAAAAGGCTTCTCAAAGTATACTTCCTTGGAACGCCCGTAACTTTTCTGTAGCGACGATAGACCCTTACTTGTCCGGACATAGTTATACTATTTTGAGTGCTCTACAAAAAAAGTCAACAGCGACGACTCTCAAAAAATTTTATGGGCTAGAAGGGGCGCAGCCCCTGGAAAGCCCCCTATACCCAAAAAAACCTCATTTTATACTAAACATCTTCGGGGCTAGAGGGCACGAAGTGCCTGGAAGCCCCACTACCTTTTTTTTTTTTTTTTTTTTCATTATGGTAGTGAATCTTTCATTCATGAAAATAATTATTTCTAATTTCTTTTACTCTCTCATACATACTAGATTTAAAGAATTCAGAACTTTTACCATAATCTCCTAAATGTTTTCTTATCCCTAACGTGTGCCAGTTATTATATGAAACTGAATAAACTTTATCTTTATCTTTACACCTTTCATCACTTCCAATATATTTATATCTCAGTTTTGATTTAGCATTTTCATATTCATTAGCGTTTAATAATTCACAGTCTTCCTTTTTAAATTGATGTTTAAGATATTCAGGATTTAATACTCTACGTTTATATGCTCCTAACTTAGTTCTAAAGGTTTTTCTACAAAATTTAGGAATTCCATCCTCTTTAATGTCATCAATGATTTCCATTTCATTATTTTCAATTTCTTCTTCTCGTTTATGAGGTCTTTGATTATGACTCCATTGATTCCATGAAATTAAATATTCTTTATCATTATATTTATACCTCATTAGCTTATTTTGGCTTTCATATTCATTTAATAATTCACAATCTTCATTTTTAAATTGAAGTTTAACCCATTCAGGATTTAAACAATGTTTAATTAATCGCGGAATATCTGACATCATCTATATATAGCTTCTTTTATAAAAGATAAAAAAATAAATTATTTTAAAATTAATGTTAATTTTTTAATGCGTTTAGTATATAATATTTATTACTAATTTATTTAATAATGTCGCGCTTTCTTACGAATTCATGACTTAAAAAACGTAAGAAAAAATTTTATATCATCTCTATATAGAAGATGTGAAAATATACCTTCATCTATATATAGACGTAACAAAAAAAGTCACACAACCCTTCCTATCCTACTACTAACAAATATATATATATATATGTGTGTTGAATTTATTGTGTTCCGAATTTCAGTACAGAGAATATCGACATTCAAGTTAAGAAATCCTGTTTAAACAGAAATAAAGATGATAAAAAATTTTTAGTGTCAAAAAGTTTACAAATGTATACAGAAAGTACTTAAACGGAGTTTTTTTTGTCGACCTTATATAAATTATAACTTAATTTTTTTTACTTTGTTATTACATCAAATAAAATAAATAATATTTTTTTTAAAGATCTTCGAGGTTATCAGAACCATTTGCTTGGTATTGCTTAATGACATCCTTTGCAATATTTTCCAATCTCATTATCATCTGTTTTCTGGACTGCGAGTCCTTTGTCGGTGATTTATCACTCAAAGATTTCGCAGAAATTTTAGAAGGAGATTCTTTCGTTGTGTTGTTTGTTGCCATCAATTTGAGGGCCGTCAGAGCGTAGTCTGATACAGAAGCTTTGATTGTAGACTTGAGAGTTAGTTTGAGAACTCTTATATTCTCTTCAAACTCGTTGTTTATTCTTTCTAACTCTCTTTCACTTTCTTCTTCGAGAACTTTGAGTTCCTGGCATTGTTTCTCTTCTAACTTCTTAACTCTTTGGTTGTGCTTCCTGTCAATCTCGTATTCGTTCTGCTTAAGAAGCTTTTTCTTCATTTTCATCATTTCATTTACTTTAATTTGGGCTTGATCGTATTCACCTTGTTGTGTTAGCTTAGCGGCCATCTGCTTAAGGGATTCTACCTCTGGAAATACCTTGTTCTTGAGTTGTTCCTTCTCAATTATGTATTTCTTTTCGAGATTCGTTAATTCTTTGATATGGACGGTGTTCATCTTGGTATTGAAGCTCATCTCAACGGATTTGTAATGTTCTACCAAGGATTGGTCCTTCTTATCGATGAATTCGTGCTTCTTCGATTCATAATTTGTCAAAACTTGGTCAATAACGTCTTGGAATGCTTGATCGATGCATGTGACTATTTCAGCACGTTGGTCGATATCGTTTCCTTGAATCATTTGGTCAATTTCTTTGACTCGTTGGATATTTACCTCCAAAGCTGCTTTTCTTCTCATTTCGCTAAGTATTTTACCATTCTGGGCAACAAGAGATGGTAATTCTTGAGAATATTCAAGAGCTTTTTTGAAATCATATACTCTAACTGATTCTATGACCTTAATTCTAAGAATTTCGATCAAATCAGAGGTTGTTCCAACAACACTTTCCTCGACATGCCTTCTGATTGCATCCTTTACTGCTGGATTCGACTCATCGGATTTTGAAATCTTGGATTTAGAAGATCTAGCAACAGAACGACATTCTTCTGTAGCTGTTGCTCTTGAGAAACTCGATCTGCTATCATCTGTCCTTCTGTTTGTCTTTCCAGTCAGCTTTTTACTATCATCTTCTAATTCTGTCTCAAGAAGCCTCATATCCTTTAAATGGTTATGCATTAATTCATTTAAGTAATCAAGGAAATCCGAAAAATGATTTATTTGCTCTTCTTGTTCTTCCTCTTCTTGGTTGTCACTTTTTTCTTCATCGTTTTCTTTTTCCTCGTTTCCCTGTGGCTGGTATTTAGTGAAGAAAACCTTTGAAGCTGCGGACAGAGTGTTGATAAGTTCTCTGGTAGTGTAGGAGATTGCTTGGCGAAGCTTTAGAGAGTTCTCGGAGATCTCTGCGGCAACTTTTTGATTATCTATCTCTTGATCTCCAGATTCTTGGGCTACTTTCTCGCGAATTACATCAGGAAGATTCTTCTCGTTATCAAGGCATGATACAAGGTCATCGAATTTCTTGTCTAATGTGTCTAATAAATCTTGTTCGAGATCTGTAGCGGTGGCAGTATCATTTGCCTTGATAGATGTAGTATAGAAGTCGATATATTGCTCGTAAGTTGGGAAATCTGCCTTTGTCTGTTGAATATCTCTGAATAATTTCATAAGATTTTCAGATGCTTGGTAAACTTGTTCGTTCTCCGATGCCTGAGATGTAAGAAGCATCAGATCCTTTAATTCAGTGTAAATTACCATGAAAAAGCTATTATTTGTATTTGTTTGGAATTCGAAGACTAATCTCTTAGCATTTGCTTCTTTCTTCTCTTCGCTATCTTCCTCATCCTCTTCGTCCTCTTCTACATTTTCTGTAGGCTGTATTTGGCCAATAAAATTGTCAAATGATTCAATTTGGACTTTTATCAATTCCAGGAGCTGGTTGAACATGTCTTCACGTTTGCCATGATATTTCTCGATCATCTCTTCATTATCAGTCTTATTTCCCGTATAAACGTGTTGTAAAGGATAATAAGCCGAAAGTAAGTCATAAGACTTCCGTAATTGGCAGGATTGGTCGAAAAAGTAGACCGTAAATTTGGAGACTATTTCGTCAAGTATTTTCGATTGTTCTTCTTCCATTGGCTGAGAATAAGTTTCCGTACAGAAATTGAAGACGCTAATGAGAGATTTAATTACAGACTTGTTCATTTTCTCTGCAAAATTGTATTTAGCTTCTTTAAGTTTTCTGACTAAAGATTTCTGTCGGATTTTCTCGGCGCTATTAATATATTTATCGGCTAGATCAAGATAAGAGTATATGAGGTCTTGGCATGTGTTAAGCAATATTTCGATTGATTCACTGTCTTCTTGTTGAAATGCAAACGATTTGCATGCCTTTTTAAGATAATTGAAAGCTCTACTCTGTATATTGGTGGCTGTTAGTTGGAATGAATCCATTCTACCTTCGAATAAGCTTTGGCATGATTCGATTTCATCAGTATCATTTTGTCTTGCAGCAGATCGAAGATAATTCCAATTTGTTTGTAATAAACCAATGGTTGCCATTTTAATGTCGTTACTAAGTTTGACTATGGAGGCCGTATTATCGCTATCATAATTATTTTTGACAGATTCTTTCAATTTTCCTATTAAATCGTCAATAGCTGCAATTTGGTCATCAATACTAACCTTTGGTTGAAATTCCTGTATGGAACGACGCTTAGAAGAAGTAGATGATGACATTGTAATTTATTGAAGGGAAAAAACCGTTCTTTGCATTGTAATGAAAACTGAAATTGCTTTTCTCATTAAAATTATTTTAGATACAATATTACCTTTATTTTATTCTTTGCAATCATCAAAATTTGTCAAAAATGAATTGTTTCAGCTATTGAAGATTATTTTCTTGGTTATTCATAATTAGGAAATAAAATCAAATCATATTTTGATAATTGGAGATTAAAAATTGATATGCCTCGGATAGAATGGTTACAAATATTCATGAATCCAATAAGCATTATCTTTTTTTTTCATAATAGATTTATAATTTCAGTATTCTGTTTCCAATAACATGGAAAATAAAATTGTTCAATAAAATTATCTTGATTTGAATGCGTAGTATTTCATTATAGAACAATGATATACATTGAGATTTTGTTTAAGAGTTCAAATTCATATTCTCTCTGTTTCATGTTTGAAAATCATGTGTTTACATTCGTTACTTATCAAACAAGTTGTCGTGAATGTTTTGAATATATGTCACAACTTTTGATATAGGTAAATAAATATATATATGCCTTTAAATTCAAAAGATATGGCTAATTACTCAATAAATCACCTATCTTCATATTCAGATCCGATTTTCCCACATGATTCGGAATCTACTCATTTAAAAAATGCATTTTATGCTATAAGAACAAAATTTGGAAAATATAACTTTACAAAATTTGAAAAAAATATTACTTTACATGTCAAAATGAATATACGTTTTTTTTTAAGAAAAAATGGCTGTTGCTGGAATTTCAAGAAAGTCCCAGAGGGCTGATTTAACTGAAGAGCAAAAACTTGAACTACATGAAGCCTTCGATATGTTCGATACTGATGGCTCTGGCAAAATCCAGGCAAATGAGCTTCGTGTTGCATTAAGAGCACTTGGCTTTGAACCATCAAAGGATGAACTTAGAAGAATGATTACAGATGTGGATAAGAAAGGAAATGGCTATCTAGATTTCCCACAATTTATGGAAGCAATTGTTAAAAAGATTAGTGAACCAGATCATGATGAAGAGATTGAAAAATCATTTAAATTATTCGATCAGAACAAGGACGATTTCTTAGATATTGACGATCTTAAATATGTTGCAGATTTAATCGGTGAATCAATGAGCCAAGAAGAGCTTAATGAAATGATCAAGGAAGCTGATCAGGATAAAGATGGAAAAGTTACACTTGCTGATTTCAAGCGTGTTGTTCAACGTGCAACTTTATTTTAAATATTTATTTGATATTACAACTAATTACAGCATATCCAATGCTAAGAAATACTTTCTTCTTATTTTTTACATTGAATAACTACAAAAATAATGAATTATTATGAATATTATTATTTTCTAAGCAGACTTTGATAAAATTAAAATGAGTACGATAATAACCTTTATGAAGACATGAGATTACTAATGCAAATTTCCTTGAATGTTGTATGTTACCTTGATTTGAATACTTATTATTTCATTATAGAACAATGTCTTATGTTCTAATTTTGTTTAAGAGTTCAAATTCATAGTCTTTCTATTAGAATACATTTCATAATGGTAAATCTTGAAAGGCACGAACATTGACATTCATGTGTTTACATACATTAAATGTAAAACAAGTGGTTGTGAAAGACTTGAATATAAGTTACAACTTCTGAAGGAATATTAGTCAATTTTTTTTTGATTAGTCAAAAATTTTAATGTTTTCACTAACACGCGCAAAAGATCCCCTTACTAAAGCATGCGAAGAAGAAAATCTCGAAAGTGTTAAATCTCTTATAGAGAACGGTAACTATAAAGTAGAATCTTTAGGTTTACCACTCATTCTTGCGTCATATCATGGTCATCTTGAAGTTGTTAATTATCTTATCTATATTGGAGCTGATAAAGAAGCAAAGGATAATAATGGATGGACTCCACTCATTTGGGCATCAAGAGAAGGTCATCTTGAAGTTGTTGAATATCTTATCTCTATTGGAGCTGATAAAGAAGCAAAGGATAAAGATGGATGGACTCCACTCATTTTTGCATCATCTAATGGTCATCTTGAAGTTGTTAAACATCTTATCTCTGTTGGAGCTGATAAAGAAGCAAAGAATAAATATGGATCTACTCCACTCATTTATGCATCACAATTTGGTCATCTTGAAGTTGTTAAATATCTTATCTCTGTTGGAGCTGATAAAGAAGCAAAGAATAAAAATGGATCTACTCCACTCATTCTTGCGTCATATCATGGTCATCTTGAAGTTGTTAAATATCTTATCTCTATTGGAGCTGATAAAGAAGCAAAAGATAAAGATGGAAAATCTGCTCTTGATGTCGCAAGTGGTTCTGTGAAAAAATACTTATTATCAATTTGATTTAAGGGATCACTATCCTAGCTGTTAACAATTATTCATTTTTTAACGCTTACTGAAATACTTTTTCCCTACGATCGAATTGATGTTTTTATGAATAAACGTAAATATTGCTTACATTATTCATATTCTATCTTTTCACTGTTTCAAAATCTAAAAAAGATCTCTAGATGAAGGCTCAAGGGGTAACTAACGTGCATAATGCTACTCTAGGATTTTTGTTGAATTTTTTGACAATTGGCATGAAGCGTCATTGAAAATTAACCTTAAAAACCCGAATTGAAAGCCATGTCATAGGGGTGTAAGCGCACACTTAAGGATTTGCTCCAACGATAATGAGTATTCAATTTTTAAGGGTCCACTGTAAGGCCAAATAAGGCCTATCGTCGTCCCAAAAATATTGCTCAAGATGGTGTTTTTACTAAGGCCCAAAAATTTTTGGCCAACATTTCAAAACGAAGGATGTTGTAAACAGAAATTCATCAAAAGTGACACTTCAGAAAAGCTAAAATATTGAATTTTTGGAACTTTTGATAGAGCACGTTTTTAAATATTAATTAAAGTAAATGTATATTTTGTAAAGATTCTTTTTAATAAAAAAATTTTGAAGAAGAACACAAAATCTTCTGAAAAATAATATCACATAAACTCATATTATTTTCTAATATATAGCTATTTTATATAAAAATCAAATTCAATGATCTTAAAAGCGAAGGATAAACCTCAAAATTTACGAATATAATGAGTGGGAATATAATGCTTATCTATCATAAAACCATATGAAATATCAATTTTTGCTTTACGCCTAATTTTTGACGACAATTAGCAAAAAATGTTAAATGTTAACACTCAGTCCATTTGAATATGAAAAATAAAATTGACTTTGATTAAATGTTTTTATTTATCATGCAATTCTTCTTGCGACCAAAGATTTGAATAAAAGTTCAAAAAATAAGATAGCTTAAAAAATAATATACGGTAGTGTTTACTAATAGATGAATAGTATATAAATTCTATTAAAATGGATTTGATCCAAAAAAATATAAAACCAAAAATAATTGTTATAAGTTAAATGAAGAAGTAATTTAAAACGATTTTATTTATGATCAAATTTTATATATTTTTTTGGATCAAATCCATTTTAATAGAATTTATATACTATTCATCTATTAGTAAACACTACCGTATATTATTTTTTAAGCTATCTTATTTTTTGAACTTTTATTCAAATCTTTGGTCGCAAGAAGAATTGCATGATAAATAAAAACATTTAATCAAAGTCAATTTTATTTTTCATATTCAAATGGACTGAGTGTTAACATTTAACATTTTTTGCTAATTGTCGTCAAAAATTAGGCGTAAAGCAAAAATTGATATTTCATATGGTTTTATGATAGATAAGCATTATATTCCCACTCATTATATTCGTAAATTTTGAGGTTTATCCTTCGCTTTTAAGATCATTGAATTTGATTTTTATATAAAATAGTTATATATTAGAAAATAATATGAGTTTATGTGATATTATTTTTGAGAAGATTTCATTCTATATGCCTATGAAAAGTACTCTCAAAACTAACTTTTTCCTAATTATAATTAAATCTAGAATATTGTATTATGCTTAGTATTATTTCATTTTTCTCATTCAATTTAGAATTTACAAATGTCAAAAAATTGAGAGCAGTCACTTTTGATGAATTTCTGTTTATTACAAAATGATTCTTCAAAAAATTATTTTTCGGATTTTATTCGGTAAAAAAAACGTTACAGAAAACGCCTATAAAATTTCGAATTTTCCCTAAAAAATTCAGTGCAGGTCGATTTAAGAGATTTTTCAAAAATAATCATATCAGTAGATAGGGTATAATATAGAGAAGCTTTATGAATAACTTAAAATCCGGGAAACTCAATATTCAACGAGAAAAATGCTTAACGAATCTCACTTTTGGTGTAAACATCACAAAAAATTGAGAGAGCTTTCTGGTCGGAAGCCTCTCTTAACAATGTTTGTGTTTACAAATTGAAATGAATGCTTAGAATTTAAATATTAAGGATACAGATTATTAAGAGTCGTTAATGTGGAATTGAGAATAAGAATATAAATGGATAAATAAGTTTTTTGAAATTGAAAACAAAAATCGGAATTTAAGAAAACATTTAGCTCTAGAAAATAATACTAAGTTCAAGTTTTGACATATTAACTTTTCATTAAAACTTTCAAAATTGAGAAATATTGAGACTGCATACAAAAGTAAAAATCAAATAATAGTATGCCTTGTAAATTACAAAACAAAAATATTAGAAGAAAAAAGTCAATCAATATTGAAAAAAATTAAAACTTAAAAGGAAATGTGCAGAATAGAGATCTATTTAATTGTTGTCTAAAAAAATAATCAACTCTTTTTATATGTTTTATAAACCTAATTGATAAAATAAATAGTATTCCATATGTAGTTTGCAGTTTCGTCATTAACAGGAATTTTCTCATAAAAATTCAAAAATAAATGAATTCTATAAACATATTGTGAATTTGTTTTGAAAAAATTCTTTGATAAAATAAACTACTATAATGAATATTGTTTTGTCTTATAAAACTTCAAAAGGGGTCCAAAAGTCCTATTCAAAATTGAACGTTATATCACAACGGACAAAAATTCAGGATCTGATATTACCTCAATGTTATATCTCTACTCGATTAAAATGCCGATTAATTTTTCAGTCGATTCTTTTTCTATTTTCAATAGAATTCTTACGATAACAAAAGTGAATGAAACCCATGTATAATTTTTGTATGTTAGGTCAATATCACTCTCTATTGCATCCAAGCTCAAAATTCAGTATTATCTCAAAATTGAGTCCTCAATATTCTCAAAAGTTTTTTTGTAAACCTTACAAAATTATTAATCATTATCATGAATTACGATCCTCTAGTTGACGTTGCTATGTCATACATCCAAGATAACACAGTTGCTCTAAGTCCAACATCCATAGAGGAGATTAAGAAAATCTTTCAAGATTTCATCTACAACCCAATGGATTACTTAGTTTATTGTGAAAGACTCCTCCACTACGTTGATAACGCCCAATCCATTGAAAAACTCAAGGCTATACTTGATGTCGAGGATGACCCAATCCCACCAAGCCCCGTAATAGAGAAAGGATCTTCCAATTCTAGAAGGAAGACACGAACATGGACGAATTCGGAAGATATAAGGCTTCTCAAAGCCATCCACAAATTGGGATTGGAGAATTGGAACGAGGTGGCCCAATACGTGGGTAATGGTCGTACCCGCTCACAATGCAGTCAACGTTGGATCCGTGTTCTAGATCCAAGAATATCAAAAGCTAACTGGACAAAGGAAGAAGTCCAGAAGCTTATAGATTTAGTTTTATTATATGGCGAAAAATCATGGGCCAAAGTTTCGGCCAAAATGGGTAATAGAAGTGATGTTCAGTGCAGATATCGTTATCAACAGATTCCGAAGTCTCACTTATTACAGAGTAAGGCAGAGAAATCTTATGAATCTAGTCCTAAAGACGAATCTGTAGAAGAAGAACATTCGGAACCGGCGTCAATGACTCCAGATCCAATGTTATTCACATCTGCTGCACAGCATGATGTAATTATGTTACCTCAGGAATTGAAATTAGACGATCAAATTCCTTTGGTTGCTTCCCATTACGATGTTTTTAAGTCTGAATCTTTGTTTGACTCTTCTTTCTGGCTTCATTGAATATAAAATTTTTGCTATGAATTATTTATATTGAAATTACCAACTTTATTTACGTATTTCAGCCCACTACATAGTCGGGTTTTTCGATTCAGACACACGATTTATAATTATACAATTCTTTACACGAAATTGAGCAGAAATTGAAGTGAAAAGGTGACAAATCTCTTTCCAAAAATATGACGTTTTTCTTTGCATTTCTTTCGCGTTCACTTGATATCAATGCTTCAACTTATGCTCAAATCTTCAATAACTCCAAGAATTTGCCCGTTTTTGTTGAAGTTTGGGATCCTTGGTGTCCGCATTGCATGAAATTCAAAGATGAGTGGAAAACAATAAAGGAAGATCCACAATTTGCTGACAAAGTAATCATTTCCGATATCAATTGTAATTCAAATAAGAATATTTGTAAACAATTTCCAGGAAGCGAAACTCCACGCTTTTTCTGGGTAGAAAATCAACAAACATCTCCTGTAAGATACGCTTCTCAAGTTAAAAAATCAGAAATCATTAATTTTATCAATAAAAATTTATACGAGCAGATTATCATATTAAATCCTGAAGAATACACTGACATTAAGGATAAAATTAACAAAACTACACATGAAGATCGCTCAAAGCAATATTTCGTTTTCAATATTACAAATAAAGATACTGCTTCATTTAATATGGCTAGGAGCATTGTTTCATCATGTAAACATCTCCCTGTTCATTTTATCCTTATTAATGATACATATCATCATTATCCAATTTTATACGCCGATATATTTGGTAACCCGCTTAAATATGAAGGTAAATTTGATCACAGTAGTATTTCTCAGTTTGTCAAACAAAGATCTTTACAATATCTTTCATTCTTTTCAGAAACAACAAATTATTACACACAGATCAATAAGATTGATTTTGCAGCATTCATATTCCCCAATGATACGTTCTACAACATTTCTGAATTCGCTTCTTTGACTTTAATTGATTATTCAACTGTTCAAACAAATTGTGAGTTTTCTCCACGATTCTGCCGATATATCTATCAATTCCCTGATAAACAACCAATACTTGCTATCGTCCATCGTCACTCAAACTTATTCTATCTTTACAAATCAACTTTTTCTAAAAAAGGAATTGAAGAATTTCTGAAATTAGTGAAAGAAGGAAAAGCAAAAGCATATGGACCAGGAAATGGATTGATTGGGAAGGTCCTTGACTTCTATGTTTCAATGAGAGTCCAAGGCGGAGTTGTTTTTTATATTATCCATATCCCGATATTTTCTTTTGTTTTATTCTTCTTAGTTATCATTTATGCTATAGTAGATACTATTAAAGAAAGTATGAAATCAAGATCAAATGATAAAGATAATAAAATTGATTAATTTGCCAAAAATTTCGTTTGATCAACATATACGAACAGAAATCTATGTTTTCTAGGATGGATTTGATTTCAGTCCTGCTTATGCCATATGTTATTTTCTCTTGTTCCATGAAATAAATAGAATTTTTGATTTAATACTTTGGTTTTAAATGCTTAAATGATACTCATACTCGAGGTTATGCTAACGAATGTAGAATTGAGTATCAAAATTAAAGAATTTCAAATAAAAATAATTATTTGCCTCAAAACAATTAGAGATATACCCATAAAGCAATAATTCTGCGAAACAAAAGGAAATAATAAACTATTATAGAAAAAAATAATTGTATGAAAAATATATCAGAAAATATCAAAATCCGAGTATTAAAGAACAGAGAAGATAAATAAAAAAGTTATGTGTTCACTTAAATGTGCATTTGCAATGTTGTTTATTGATGATTTTTGGATGAAAAGTAAAAAAAAAGTAAAATATGTCTTAATAATATATATTTAAGATATTCTATCTATCTCTTTTGGAGTTGTACAAATAAGAAAGTATTAGCTTACTCGTGGTGGTGGTGGAGGGATTCTTCCTGGACAACTTCTTCGAGTGTGTTGAGCTTCTTCATAGCGCGGCGGTGTGTGCCGAGGCGCTTCTTGAGGAATTGGCGAGCAGCACGGCGGCGCTCGATCTTGATAAGATCCATTGTATGGCGTTCGTATGGTTGCCAGCCGACAAGCTCGTGGACGATCTTACGAGCGAAGTTAACGCGCTTGCCAGATGAGTGGAGACCGCATTCACGCTTTGGTGCAAGAGCCTTCTGTTGTTGTTGTTCCTCAGACATTTTCTTAGAAAAGAAGAACCAAACCGTAAAAAAAAATTCAAAAATTTTATAAAAAAATCAATTTGACTTGTAGTTTATATTACACAATCGAGATATATGATTTTTTATCAAGAAATTTCTCTGGATATTGATTTTTCAAAAAACAAAATTTAATTTTCTAATCATATCAAGCCAAGCAATTGCCCAACCAAAATATTTTCTTCCAAGATGATAAAACCCAGCATTACATTCTTATTATAGAAGATATATTTTAGAAATATCTTACTTACATAAAAAAAAGTATCCTAATTTTGCAATAATACAATATACAAAAAATGTTTAGTAATTAATCAGGTTGTCTTACTTTTGGAACTGAAATTTTTCTTACAACAGGGCGTTTTACAATTGGTTGTTGCATTATAGGTGTAGAATTAACTGGTTGAGTATTTACTACAGGTTGGTATGAAACTTGTTGAACATTCTGAGTCTGGATTTGAATTTTAGGTTGAGAAACAGGAATTTGTTGATGGGTAGGAGTCTGATGTGTATTTGTGGTCTGTACGATTTTAACTGGTGAAGGTTGAGCAGGAACGAAGCTGTTTTGTTGTGGTTCTGTAAAATGTTGAGTAACAATCGGTTGTTGAGGAATAACTGGTGGGTTTAATATTGACTCTGTAGTTCTTGATGGTTGCGAAGGCTGTGGTGGTACTTCTGGAGGAGATTCTTGGATTGGAGAATCTTTTTGTTTCTGTTGAGAAGGTTTTGAAGGATTTCGGCCAAATAGTTCTGTATTATATTTAATAATCGTATTATAGTATGCATCTTGAGCTTCTGACGTCTGAAGCAAAATCTTCGTTTCTTCAAGAACTCTGTTTGTACTTGACGCCCAATTAGCTGATGCGATGGAATTTGAGTTCTTCATTTTGATTTCGTGTATTACCTTTTGTAAATATTGTATTTCGTCGTCTAAAATCTTTTCTTCTGATTCTAAAGCGCCAACTGTGTTTTGATATTCAAGATTTTTCTCATTTTTCTCGAGTTGAAGCTTTAGCTTCTCACGATATACTAAATCATAAGCTTGTTGTGCATCTTGTATTTTTTGTTGATAAATTTGTTTCGTATTTTCAATTTCTTTCATGATATCTTCATTTGTTTTAGTAATTGACTCGAGTTTCTGCTTTTGAAGTTGGATTTGAGTTTGAATAGATTGAATTTGATTTGAATCTGAAGGATATTCTTGATTTGCAAGCGTGAGACGCTCATTTTCATCAACAGTATTAATTAATATGTTGATAAGAGCTGTCTGACTATTCAAATCAAGCTGCTTTGTAAAGGGTTTCTCCTTCTCTGAACTCATTTGTAATTCAAATTTTTTGGAATTGAATGGAAAGTACTTTAAAAACTCATGTTAAGAGAATTTTAAATGTATATTATGTTTAGTGATATATTTTTAGATATTTCTAACTATTTAACTTTGTTCAAAATCTCCAAATAAATTTCAAAAATGAAATTTTGAAAATTATTTTCTAGATTTTTATGATGGATTTTTTATTTTTGAATTTTTTTTGGAATTCATAAAACACATGTGTCGCTTATTTATCATCAGTTACATTAATTCCTTACTGAATTTTAAAGAAAGATCATGAATATGTTTATCATTTTGAAATATGTCATCAATTTATAGTGGAATATTAAAGATAACAAAAGCATTACAAAATCATCATAAAAATTTGCCTTACTTCTTTTATTTTACCAAATTGAATGTCAGATCAACCATTTGAGTATATTTTTCGAACTGCATACAATGATATATATCATGAAAATTGTCCAAAAGCTATCAATATCCTGAAATATCATGATGATATTCAAGAATTAAAAAATCTTATTATCAAATTAGATCAAAAATCAGTAAATGAATCAGATATTCAAGACGAATTAAAGCATAAATTCGATAAAAATATTGATACAGCTGATTGTACAGGTATAAAATCATTACAAACACAGATTTCAGATTTAATCTTATCAAAATTTCAAAATCTAACAAAAATATGCTCATTAATGATATCTATTTTACATTCTATGGATAAAAATTATGATAAATTTACTGAAATATACAAAAATTCGCAAGAAATCGTAAAAAGTATAAATCTTGAATGCCAAAGCGATATTACTATATTCGATACATCTAACAAAATGAATGAGTGGATTGAAAATTCAGTTGATTTAGCCATAGAAGCTAAAAAATCAATTGAACGTACATTATATCATGAAAAACCAACATGTCATATATGCCCATATTGCAGAATACATGCTTCAGTTACTTATGCATATCCTTGCCATCATTCTGGCTTATGTAGTGAATGTTATCAGAAAAAATTGAATGATCCAAAACTTTTTTATACCCATTGTTCTTATTGTAAAAAAGTAGTTACAGAGCTTCGTCCATTTAGAGATCCTAAGATCAATTACTAAAAAAATTAACAAGACTGTAATGTGATCTTTTTGAGTTTTTTTTTGTATTTCGAGGTTAAATAAATTAACGTATTGCACCAATGTGTTATAACAGGTCGATTTATAATAAAATAATTATTATAATAAATTTGATATTCAGCGACGGCGCTACGCGCCTTTTAGCATTCTGGGCATGTAAGTGCCCAGAATGCAAGCTTGAGAAATTTGAAACTTCGTTTCAAATTTCTGCCTTGCTGTTATGTAAAAAGATTTTTTTGGTGTGAAAATTGAATGTAAAAATAAAATTTAGTTTTTTTCCTGAGATATGGATTTTTTTAGAAGATATTAGAGATGTCAGTCTCAATTTACAAATTTTTTTTAAATTGAGAGGAATTTTAATGATACGATTTTATTTGATATATGGATTTTTTAGAAGATTTTAAAGATGTCAGTCTCAATTTATAAAAAAATTTAAAATTGAGAGGAATTTTAACGATACGATTTAATTTGATATATGAATTTTTTAGGAGATTTTAGAGATGTCAGTCTCAATTTTTAAAAAAGCGGTTAATGTGTCGCAAGCTTGAAGTCTAAAATGGCAAATACTGAACTTATTTAAAATTTGATTTAATAAATAAATCATACTTTATATCAGTATCCTAAAACAATTTTTAAAATAGAGTTTTAAAAATCCAAAATTTCATGAAAAGTGACAAAAATTGCCAAATTGCCAGTATATGAGATTTTAATGATATCAAAAAAAAAAAAAAAAAAAAAGGTAGTGGGGCTTCCAGGCACTTCGTGCCCTCTAGCCCCGAAGATGTTTAGAATATGAGAGAGGTCCTATAAACCGGAGAAAGTGTCATATAAACATCTGTCATTTTACTCAGAATTTTCATGAAATTTACACCAAAAATATATTTTAGGGTAGAAGGGTATATCTAACCTCTTTTCTAACCTCTTTTCTACCCTCTTGAATTTTCATGAAATTTACACCAAAAATATATTTTAGGGTAGAAGGGTATATCTAACCTCTTTTCTAACCTCTTTTCTACCCTCTTGAATTTTCATGAAATTTACACCAAAAATATATTTTAGGGTAGAAGGGTATATCTAACCTCTTTTCTAACCTCTTTTCTACCCTCTTGAATTTTCATGAAATTTACACCAAAAATATACTACTAGGGTCATTTACGAAGAAATCTCAACAATGTCTTTACGATGAAGTCTTGACAAAGTCTTTACGAAGAAGTCTCAACAAAGTCTTTACGAAGAAGTCTCAACAAAGTCTTTACGAAGAAGTCTTAACAAAGTCTTTACGAAGAAATTCATGAAAATTCAAGAGGGTAGAAAAGAGGTTAGAAAAGAGGTTAGATATACCCTTCTACCCTAAAATATATTTTTGGGTCATTTACGAAGAAGTCTCAACAAAGTCTTTACGAAGAAGTCTCAACAAAGTCTTTACGAAGAAGTCTTGACAAAACATTTACGAAGAAATTCATGAAAATTCAAGAGGGTAGAAAAGAGGTTAGAAAAGAGGTTAGATATACCCTTCTACCCTAAATTATATTTTTGGGTCATTTACACTCATTTACGAAGAAGTCTCAACAAAGTCTTTACGAAGAAGTCTTTACAAAACATCTGTCAAAAGCCGCTTTTTAACTTCACTTAAAATGCCACGTAAGCTACGTAAGAATATACGTAAGAGGAAGAGAGCATTGAAACATCCAATAGTAAAACTGACACCACAACAACAGTTGCAACAACAAATGCTGAATGACCCCACTATGTTGCAACAAATGTCAAGCAATCCTATGCTTTTAAACCGAGTTGTTGGTGCACAGAGTGGAGGTTTAAGAGCGGCACTTTTAGCGAAAATGGCAGGCTATGGTGGAGCTGCAGACGGAACAGCCTATAACCCTCAAAGTCAAATGAATTTGAGTTCACTCAAAAATCAAATAACAGATGTCAAAAGTCAAACATAGACATACAGAAGCAAATAAGTGAAAACGAAAAGAAACTAGAATATGACAGACACACAAAGAAACTCAATGAGTTAAACGTAGAGAAAAAGAAGAAAGAAGAACAACTGAAAGAACTAAGTACAGAGGAATATGCGAAAAAAGTGTCAGAAAAAGCAGCAGAAGTAGCAAAAATGGAACAAGATGTTATAAATTTGAAAAACCATACTACTCAATATAAAGTACTGAAAGATGAAGAGATAAAACAAAAAGCCATGAAGACATATATGGATAGCGATGAGTATAAAAAAGAAGTTGAAGCAAATGTAAAGGCAGAAAAACTTTTACAGTTGCAAAACCAAACCGTACAGTATGAAAACTTAGCACAAGAAAGTAAAATAACGACGCAGCCATGCAAAAGGCAATGAAAAGCGCAGAATATATAAAAGCCAACAATGACTGGTTAGATGCCCAAGCCAACGCTAAAGCAGCCCAACTCATAGGGTCAATAAGGACAAAAATACAAGCGGATGAAGATAGTTCAAATGAAGCTTTAACAAATGCTGACTTTAAGAACGCCTTCGAAGCTCTTCATAGTAAGGTGAAACAAGTGAACGACTTCTCATCTGGAAAGAAACTGAAGTCTGAAGGTTTCGACAAAGAGTTAAGAGAAGTAGCACAAAATATGACGAAAATAACAGATGCAGCAACGAGACAGGCAGTTCAAAGTGCCTATGACGCCGTTAGAGCAACTGTTGTGAAAAGTCAAGAAAAAGAGTTACAACAGACCAAAACAGACCTAGTAAAATGCTTTCTTAAGAACGAAAAGTCAGGTAGGACATTACGCTGCAGATGGAACATATGTGCCAGCTGGTGGAACTTATATACCACCAAACCCTCCAAGAGAAGCACCTGCACCAGGACTACCTAAAACATTTACATCGTCACATGGACACAGACACAGGCATGCACCAAAACCAACACAACAACCAACACAACAACCAACACAACAACCAGCACAACAACCACCTCCACAACCAGCACAACAACCAACACAACAACCAGCACAGCAACCAACAGTTCAAAACACTGCACCACAACCACAAACAGAGCAAGGACATAAAAGAAGTAGAGAACAAGGAAACCAAGAATTCTTAAAATGCTTAAAGAAGAGTGTGGTTTCCCAGATACTGTTGACTTTAGTGACAGATATAAGAAGCTATTGGAAAGTTCAAGGATGGAAATACTGACCCGAACCTATTTAGCTTTATGGCTCAGCACCAAAACGGATATAATCTCAAACCTGGAAAATACAAGCTCGCTAAGGGATATGATTTAATAGCATATCATCCAAATGACATGGATGAATTTACTCCGAGATATTTGATGTCAGAGCTAAATGACAATTCAACTTTCGTCATGAAAAGCGTAAAAAATAGAGACGGAACGAAAGAACAAAAGCTTATGAATGCGGATGACGTAGATAGGGAAATTGTTAAAAACGGTCTCGGAATATATGAAATGCCAGCAGATGAGGTACAAGAAAACTCCACAGGAAGAACTAGTTCAGATACAACCAGACATGGAAGAAATAGTTCAGCAACAACAGCTAGAAGAGCCTGAAGGAAACGAACAAGTCACTCCTTTGGAAACTAACTTCACAGAACTAGATGAAGATTTGGAACAGCCGAAAAATCTTGACCCTCAACAAGAGTATGCGGAGAATATGGAATCTTTCCAAGAGTCTAAGAAAGATTCGGCTGACATAGTAGAAGAATATCGAAAATGTTTGCCGACATACAAAGACTCCAACATCAGATGAAAATATTCAGCATAGAATGGAAGAACTGAAAAAAAATGTACACAAATACAACAACCCTTTTTACTTACGAGCATTTAACGTTCAATCTTCGGATGAACTCGGTGAAAATAAAAGGTTAAATTT